TTGTTTTTTTTTTTTTTTTGCTTTAAATAAGCAAACAAATATGCAAAAGTTAAGGTAAGATGCAAGAGAGGATCTGCGCTAATCGACAGAAAATTATATAAGTCATAAAGCGGTATATGTCTGATGATCTGTTTACGGATCATTTGGATGGCGTAATAGGTCACAACATCCTGACTTGTTGCATGTATCAGGACGGATACCAATAGTCAACATTGTACTAATTAATCCGCTCTAGCGGTATGCTTCTTTTGATGATAGATTATAATTGCGTCCGAAGGACAAATACCATTGGACAATCAGTGTCCTCAGAATGACACGAGCACCCATAAGTCAATATCACTGATTTTGTTCTTCTTTTTCAGTTGTGATAAACTTTCTGATAAAATTTCGTTAGAATGAAATTAAAAAAGAATTTAAAGAAACTATCGCTGTAATGTCATTTTCTCTGTCACATCGAAAATTAAATTTGTAAGAATGAAAATAGGAAATGGAAATGAATACGATTTCCTGAAATCATTTCAATTATTAGATTGTTTCCAAATTTTGGTTGATTTTATTTCCTAGAAAAAGAATTATTCTATCGTTGAAAAGTAAGCGACGAATTTGTGCTGAGGTTATGGTGGATGATGGTGCTATGGTGATGGTGGGATGGTACCGCCAAAACGAAGGTTGGTGACATGCCAAGATGCCAGCAGACTTTTTTCAGATATCTAATGGCGGTATTGGTGTCAAGCAATTGCAATACTGCAAATGCGTGTGGTATGCATGCTATGAGAGATCAGAAAATATTTCATGTATAATATATATTATTCCATTGGTTATGTGGTGTATGGTACCTACCCTTAAATTGGATAAACTTAACAATGCATTTATATATATATATATATATGTGTGTGTGTGTGTGCGTGTATCATTAGTAGCAAAGCGGGTGCTAGAAACGATGTCAACATTTTTGTCGGATTTTCATCTCTCAGAATGATTGATGATACGGTGGGAAAGTGTGAATGTGACCGCAAATCATGACACTCTCTACTACCAGCGTCCTCACTACTGTGATACTATAGTAACATTCCAATTTATTGCCATTAGGGATTTTTAATTTTCCATTGAAAATATGTAAATTTTATGCCCTTATTATTATTGCTGAGAAGTTCGAAGTACTTTATGTTTATATGCTATAATAGATGATCTGATTGGATTTCAGGGTTAATTAAAGAAAATAAATTTTAGCACAATCAAAAAATGAGCAAAATTATAATAAATTTGTGTGAGTTAACGGAAAATTAAAAAGTTAGTTAAAACAAACTTTAATTAATTTCAGCCATATTCATATTTTTCATTACACCGTAAATTTGATGAATTCAAAAGGTTGAAGTTTGCAATTTATCCTAATTAACCAAACTAATTTAAATTTAATGCTATTTAGCCCGTTTCAAGATGTTTCTATAGTGACTATATTATCATATCATTAACGAGAACTGAATTTAAAAGTTTGTTTTATTTAATGACAACAAACACTTAGCTAATTCATTTCAATGCTAACCTAACCTAGGCTTAAATTAGCACTTTGCTAATACAACTTAAACTTAAAACTAGCAGCTATTTATTTTTAATGAATTTTTACTCATTCACATAGAAACTCATTGTTCCATAATTGTTATTCGTATACAAAAGAATGCAATGTCGAAATCATTCAACCATTTAATGGGCCTAAATAGGCTTTCAAACCGGTCGGTATCGTTTATATTTTGAAACAAATTGAGTTGTTTTGTTGGAAGAGAGAAGGAAGATGGGAATAAATCGACTACTAATAATATTTTTAAATTAGGGTAGTAAGGAGAGAGAGAGAG